ATACCCTCCTCGCCGAGAGACGGGATGGTGACGCTGGGGGGACGTGGTGGCAGATCATTCGAAACGGTACGACTCATGCTAGGACCGGTCCATTCATTGAACGGCGAAGGTGCATAGCTATCACGCATGGGTGAAACCGAACGATCATTGTGGCGGTTGCCCGGGCGTGGCGGTATCTTGGGCATTTCTAACGATGAAGACGACGATGGTGGTTTTGGAGATCGAGCCGGTCGAGGAGGGATGGCCGGAGCAGCTTGGGTTGACATGATGAAGTTCTGGGAGCTATTAACAGGTCAGCGGCAGCCCAACCGGATACCTCATGAATACGCCTAGCCCTGTGCGGGCCAAGAAAAACAATGGATACACGGCCCCAATCGACTTGCAGGGATTGACGCAAGTACTATGGATATGCATCAAATTGATGCAAGACTCTCAGGAGTAGAAAGCCCAGTCCATACAACTGATAAGAGCATACATAATGATTTGCTTACCCGGATATGGTGGAAACCAGTTTCAGTCCAATTGGAACGACAGTCAAAACGTGCAATCAAAACAGTCAAAGAAAAGCAGATATTGAAGCAATTCCGAAACTGAGTTTTGGGGAAGAGAGATGATGTATGCTCTTTCTGCCGCCTGACGTGCTCTGACCGCAAGAGATAATGCGCGTAACGTACTAATACTGTATCATTACAAGTCAATTTAGGAGCCAACTACAACGATCCATTACATTCAATGCCCCGCCGATGAGATCAGCATAGCGCCTTGTTTTTCGATCTGAATCTTGAGGCATTTTTTTCTTCTTCTTTTATTACGGTAAATGGCTCATATAAGTGGTCAAGATTGGTCTTGAAATAATGCCTCGTTTCTGTAGCATCACAGTACGTTGTACCCGCAGTTGGCCAGATCATCTCATCCAAGAGTCACAGTATACATGTTCTTGCGGTATATTGTACAAAATATCTAAAAATATGGAGTTCCTCCCAAGTCAGTATATTGGACAGAGAAGTCTAGAACTCGATATCGGAGTGTTCTTTGACCTCCAGAGCTTTTACTTTTGATAAGATGATTTCCCTACCGTTGGATTGGCTGGTCAGACCGAGGCGGTGAAGTGTCAAGGTTCTCCACATTACATCATCGTTGGCTCTCTATGCACGTCTACTTAACTGTGTATGTTGTACATACATCGTACACTTCACTTTAATATTAAAGAGCATTGTTTGACATAGAAGTGTGCTACTTTGGGAACTCTCACTCTCTTAGTATCTCTTTCTTTCAATTTTGTCATCCCTCCAATTCCCTAAAATACGCTTATCTATTCAACGTTGATCCACTCTCAACCGAAACAGCGAGGATACCCGTCACATATTGATCACCAGGGCTAAAAAGAATTTGCGGGGTAACATGACCTGTATCAATATTTCAAGATCCATCCCACCATTTGCGCCACGTTCCTGGGCTTAGCTGTCGATATCTGTAATCCAAGCCAGAATGGTGGCTGGTCCCGTGTAGAGCAAGCTGGACGAATTGCATTCGTCTGCCCAGCCTAGGTAGACAAGTTCCGAGGTTGTCATCATCAGAACCTCCAAATATACAACGCATAGAGTGCATATACATACGAATGTACAACTTATATGGTGCCAGATCGGTCTATGGCCAACATTCAAGACTAGTATTAGCAGATGCGCCGTAAACATCTATTCCCACCTGGTCCTATTGGTTGAACCCTTTCAGGGCCATGCAGGTATAGATGCACTTCCAACCATATATGTATTAGCCTTGGGCTGAGTAGATACTGCCTAATGAGCCTAGTCATTGCTACCTTGGGTACCCAAGTATTGGAGTCGATGGCTGCAGAAATCGATCGTCCACGTGTTTCTGAGCCCCAGAAGGGCCCAAAGAGCTTCCGCTTCACCAGATCTACAACATATAGTTGAATTTACAGAGTCTAGTCTGATAGTCTGGATAAATTAAGCTTGTTCAATGAATACACCATTTAGGATAGTAATCAAAACACCTATTCTGGCGGACACAGTCCACAAAAAGAAAGAAAACCACGGATATATCTGCTGTAGGAACGCTCATCGACTTTGAAAGCAGCCATGTCCAGCAGGATCATCCTGAACCAAACCGAGACATACAAGTACAGGACAATAAAAACACAAAACTATTTCGTAGCGCATCCCAATGCATGCTGCCCAAATGGCATTTTTTGATCTGTGTACCATCTGTACTGAGCATCTCATCGTGTCGCACAACCCTCCAATCACCAGGATTACTCCCAAAATGGGTCCAGCTGGTATAGAAAAAGGCAGGAACGGCTCGGCGTGAATGTCATGCTATCAGACAATCATCTGCGCAACTCCCTGGCCACCAAGGGTCTTGCTACCAACAAAATCTTGCTTCCTCAGGGCCGCGAGTGAATAGAACACAGCCGCAATGAAAAGGAAGACGGCACCAGCAATCAAGCTAGAAGCACGTTCGGCAAGACTGATGAGCTGGACACCACCAAGGACGGCGTAAATGAGGGCGCGCATCCAGTTGGTTGTAAATTTGCGGATGAAGTCATCGAATTTCGGGGATGTAGGACAAATTCGGAGGAGGAAGGGTACTTCAATGAAGAGAATTACGAATGCCGAAGCACTGAAACAGGTTAGTCTTCGCAGTAAATCAGCAGGAAATGAATGCGACTCACATGCTGATGACACTGATGATAATGAGAACCACATTGAAAGAAAAGATGTTCGCAATTCCTAGCGCAAGGCAAAGGATAATGCACAGCACACCCGTCCTAGATGTTTTGTTAGACCGATCCCTTTACATGCGAAACTGATTTTTGGGAGAGCGATTCAAGAGCTACCGCACGATGTAGTACACGCCTCAATCATTCAATCAGTGCGCTCGGTGCTCTCCCGCGACAGTATTCAGGCTTGCGAAAGCATAAAGTGTTGGAAGGTAACGCAGTAAACTAACCATTGTCCATAGATGCCTAGAAAAGGCCAGCAAGGTTAGCAAATTACGATACAGCAGTGCAAGATCCGGATACATACTGAAATTTCGCGATCGGAGCTCCTCGCCCAGCGACATGGTGGGCTAGTAAAAAGAATTTGGGGAAATAAGAGCTGAAGATCAAAGATGGGGGGTTCGCAGATGATCAGAGGTGTCAGAGGGTCCGGCAAAGTGTACACGCGGCGGATTATCCAGGGCGGTCAAAGGATCGAAACAAACAAAATGGGCAACAACGATCGATACCTTGACCTTTGAAGCTTCGTGAATGAAAGGTCTAGAGATATGACGATTCACTTGGTGTTTCAAGGGCTCCAATGTTGCTATTGATAAGATTGTCCCAAGGTCATTTTCTAAGCCAAGTCAAATTTCACCACATAATCACCAGGCAGACGCCAATGGTCAAAGCCCCAATATGGTCGAGCTGATAATTCTACCTAACTATTCCTATACTTAACAAATTCAATGTCGGTTATTTGAATTGATGAAAGAACGTGCTAAAACAATCAACTCAGCTATGATCCCTATATAAGAAATGAACCCATCACGCAACATCTTGAGATTTTCCAAGTTAGCTCCTTTATTTGTATATATTGAAATAGAAGGGAGAGCACAGCTAGTTCTTGATGAAATTCGAACAATATGAGGTCTATTTAAAGTGACATGAAGAAGGTTTGATAGATAGAATACTGGTTATATATATATGCCAGCAGCTCTCAACTAGCTACCCGAACTTAGAAAACCCTATTTAACCCGTCTAATTAACCTAGACCTTTGTGCACCCTACTAGCTATGCACCTTATGAAAGCTATAATAGACAGGAGGATACCGTTCCTCTTCTACGGCTTAGGTGTTTGCGCTCCATTTCAGTGCTTGGGCCCATCCAGCGGATACTCGAGAATAGCCAGCATCTACTTTTCTAGGCATGGTTTTTTGAGATTTCTTTCTCAAGATAAACAAGGCAAAAATGGAGGATGATGGAATGGTTGAACGGAAGGCAAGATGTGACTGGTATTGACTTTACTCTGGAAGTAGGGAACAGTTGACCTTCCTAGTCAAAGTCCGAGGGTACAGTGCAGTTCAGATTTAATTCCCTTTCGCTCCCTATCTGGCAGTACCGGGAATCGGAATTGCTATCATGTACCTTTTTTTGATTGAGATCATGGACGCAACATACTAGGTTATTGTGACTTATCGAGTAGTTATGGAAATAGGGCTGGTATTAAAATGTGGGCAACGGCTCGCGCGGCCTGGAGGGTATATAAGCCTCATTATGAAACGTTCGGAGAGGCCGAGTAGGAAATGTAGAAGCGGGACTGGTCTAGGGATAAAGGGTACAAGTTTCTAAGTGCCACCATCTATAGGTGAAGATCACGCATAGGTGGGTTTATATCTAGAAGCTGCAGTTAGGGCACTATATCTCTACATACAGCACTTAAGACTGCTACGTGCGCTGGATATATTTTTCTCGCTATATAGGCATAGTACACTATACTTTTCTGGAGACGAGTGCTTATAGGTATCACATCACGTACATGTATTTTTAACAAAATTGCTTCCTTAAATACATTGAATATTTCATTCTGTTCTGTTGGTAGTGTTAACATCAAATGTCCTAAGCTACACTATCCCTTAGAATAAAGAGGTTTTTCCATGTAATATAGATAGGTACTTCATGCGAGTCTAACCTAATTTATATGCTGTGTATACGTACGGAGTGCCTAAATGTACTTTGTAGGTAATCGCTTGGCAGTGTTAAGCCAAGCGCGGGGATCCGACGGGTTAAAGGCGCCTCACAAAGCTCGCCTTTAGCTACCTAGGTACTAGGTTAGTGAATTACCATTGAAACAATATCATGACTCATCCAATAACCTAGCCCTGGAGATCCTACCTAGGTAGTCTCTTATCTCCCCAGACCTGGGGCCATAAAACTGGCTATTTCCCCGTCGCCATGACTAACCCCTAAAACCGACCCGACGGAGGTTTAATATTTGAATATGGCATTGAACATTTGTCCTGTCGATAGTGATAATCAATTCAACATTCGAGTCGATGTTGACTGTCGAGCATTCGACTTCACCTTGCTCTTCGAAGACGCTATTTTCAATATTTTGCCGTCAGTCGCTTTCTTACTATGGCTCATCCCTCGACTCGAGATCCTACGACGGTCCCCCGTGAAGTCCAACTCCCTCAAATTTGCAATCTATAAATCGGTACTTTATTTCCCATCGACTCGGGAAGCGGTTATTTACTATTTAGGAATATTAGGTTCTACTATTTGTCCTTTTTGTGCTGCAGATTATCTTCACAGTGTACCAAGTGCAAACTGTAGCGCTACACACCAAGATCTCGACTCCGGCAGCAGCGATTAACATAGCCATAACCCTCGCAGCAATCATCCTGTCCTTTCTTGAAGATCAACGAGCGATCCAGCCGTCTGACACGCTCATCGTTTATTTTTCGGCCTTGTCTATTCTCTACATACCTCACTTACGCACGTTATGGCTCATTCCCTCCATTCCAGTTCTTCGAGGACTGTTCACCGCCATCTACATCATTGTCATCATGATTACTATCCTGGAGTCCGCTCGGAAAGTCAACTTCATCCAGCCACTGTACAGAAATGTGGCGGTCGAAAAGGTCCACGGTTTTTGGGGACGTAACCTCTTTGTCTGGGTCCTCCCGCTGTTCCAGAACGCCTATAAAACCATTATCTCCCTGGACGATCTGCCAGATGTAGACTCCACGCTACTGGGGCAATACGCAGAGGCACGCCTGGCGCAGACCTGGCTTAACGCCCACGGAAAGTACCGACTGATCAAAGCGACTTTACGAGCGTACTGCCGGCCCCTTCTCTCCGCGATAGTCCCGCGGATTCTCCTCGCAGGATTCACCTTCTGCCAGCCCTTTCTGCTTTCCGCCACCATCGAGTGGATGAGTTCCCCGAAGACCGCGGAGAGGCAGCGATACGGACATGCATTGGTCGGGGCATATGCGCTCGTTTACACCGGAATCGGCGTCTCCACGGCGATTTACTACCGCCAGGCCAGCCGCCTGGCGACCGTCGTCAGGTCGGGCCTGGTTGCCATGATCCACGAGCAGACTCTGGCGCTGCGAAGTACAACCGGCTCAAAGGCCGGGGACGCCGTCGCCCTCATGGGCACGGACACGACACGTATCATATCGAGTATGCGGTCGCTGCATGAGTTCTGGGCCTCTCTTGTCTCTGTGGCGGTCGCTATCTGGCTGTTAGAGATGAAAGTGTATGTCGCTTGCGTGCTCCCGGCCGTCATTGCCGTGGGGTGTATTATTGCCACTGGCCCGGTCTCCGCTAGATCCGGAGATGCGCAGAAGAAATGGGTGGGACTCATTCAGGAACGTTTGGCGGTTACAACCACGATGCTTGGAGATATGAAAGCTGTCAAAATGTTGGGACTTGAAGTCGTCTTGTTTGATATCGTTACTCGGTATCGGAAGGTTGAGCTAGAAGCCTCTAAGCGATTTAGAAAGCTTATTGTGGGAGTCGTCATGCTATGTAAGTCGGGTTCATTGAAAGAGAGAAAATATTGCAGAAAAGCACTAACTAGAGGGGACTCTGTCTTGGCTAGCATCTGTTCCTATGGACTTTGCACCGTATGCGGTCTTTCTCTTGTATACGATTATAGCTTTGGCCAAGCACGATACGCAGATCCTCACTACGCAGGCATTCACAACACTTTCTCTCATCTCCCTCTTGACGACTCCTCTGATGGGGTTCATTCAGTCACTGCCCACAATAACACAGTCTATTGGCTGCTTCGACCGGATTCAGAATTATTGCCTGCGAGAAAGATCAAGTGAATTACTTCCTACCCAGACGAAATCCGAATTTTCGATGGGTGATAGTGTCGAACTTTCTAACCTTTCTGGGGCTACCAAGGCCCCTGGAATATCAGTTTCGTGCGACAAATTTGTGTCGTTCCAGAACACATCCATTTCTTGGACAGCTGAAAGCCCTGCCGTTCTTCACGACCTAACTCTGTCCATCCCTACAGGTAAGATTACCATGGTCGTGGGTTCAGTCGGGTGCGGAAAATCCGCTCTTCTAAATACGATCATGGGGCAGACTCAGATTGACCATGGCACTATGTACCTTGCCCCGGAAAATATAGCGTATTGTCCACAGACCCCTTGGATTCTCAACAGTTCCATCCAGGACAACATAACTGGGTGGACGACATTAGATCAGAAATGGTACGATATTACCATCTCGGCTTGTGGGCTTGTGGAAGATATCAGCAAATTTCCCCAAGGAAGCATGCACATTGCTGGTAGTAGTGGAATAGCTCTCAGCGGCGGACAAAAGCAGCGAGTGGTGAGTGAATAGCCGGCAGATCTATTGTTCCAGACGAAATGCTGATTTAACCCAGGCTCTTGCGCGCGCAGTCTACTCTCGCCTCCGCAATGTGGTTTTTGATGACACATTCAGTGGACTAGATGCACAAAATACTCGTCTCATTGGCGAGCGTCTATTTGGGCGTGATGGGATCCTCCGACGGACAAGTACAAGCGTGGTTCTTGCGACTCATAATCGTAAGTATATCATATGGCTTTTGATGTAATGTTGTTAACATAAAAGCCTTAGGATCTCTGCTTCCGTATGCGGACGAAGTCATTCTCCTCGAAAGTGGCCGTAAAGTTCTGCAATGCACATACCAGGAATTGATTGACCAGCGGCCCGAGTATACACAGTCTAGCCTTGGGGACAAAGATGATGACGCAGTGAACACACAACCCAACGAAATAACAGAACCCAAACCGCTTTCAAGACATGTAAGTAGGCAAGGAAGTGAATACGAGTCCACCGAGTTGAAGAAAAGCCTGGCAAGGCGAGATGGCAGCTGGTCCATCTACAGCTACTACGCCCGCAAAGCAGGGCTTCTACATGTCGCCTTCTTTGCCGCATTCTTTCTTGCATACGCCTTCATGACTCAGTTCTCCTGTAAGTTTGCTCATATATTTTCAAAGCAATAAAGCTAAGCAGGCTATTTAGCAATTTGGTTAAAATGGTGGTCTGATGCAAATGAGGCTCATCCGAATTCGGATGTGGGCAAATACCTCGGGGTTTATACGGTCATTTCTCTGTTGACTATTCTCTTCCTAGGAGCCGGGTCCTGGTAAGATCTTCCTTTTCTCGCGCAATGAAAATTCGCTTATCTTGATGTAGGATGTTGATCGTCGAAGTTGTCGGCACCACTTCGCTAGCTCTGCATTCAGACCTATTGCAATCTGTTCTACGGTATGTTGAGAAAGCATTGGCTACAGAAAACCTATACTGACCAACTCCCAGTGCCCCCTTCAGCTTCTTCCAGAAAACCGATAGCGGAAGTATCATGAACCGGTTTAGTGAAGACATGCAGCTTATTGACTTTATGCTCCCGATCACCGCGTTAAACTTTGTGGAAGGCAAGCCTCTACCCACTACATATGATTAAGGTCTTTTCTCTGATATAATTTATTCAGCCCTCTTCCTCTGCGTCGTTAGTCTGGTCATCCTCTGCGTGGTCGGCAAATACATCACCATTGCGCTCCCATTCATTATACTCGCGATCTGGGTCCTCCAACATGGCTACCTCCGGACCTCCCGCCAGATCCGCCTTTTGGACATCGAAGCCAAGGCACTCCTATTCTCCCACTTCCAAGAGACCGTCAGCGGACTCTCGGTGATCCAGAGCTTGCAGTGGCAACCGCAGTTCCACCAGCAATGCCTTGCCAAGCTCGACGTCACCCAGAAGCCCTTCTATATGCTGTTCTGTATACGACAGGGCCTTAAGCTGGCGTTGGACCTGCTCGTCATGCTCTTCGCGGTAATCCTTCTCGCAGTGATCACCGCCCTGAAGGACCGGTTTAGCCCCGGCGAAATCGGTGTGGCGCTAAATCTGATCATCTCCATCAGCCAGAACATGAACACTGCCATCGAGACGTGGACAGAGATGGAGATTTCACTCGGGGCAGTGGCACGCGTGCAGGAATTTATGAAGGAGACGCCCGCCGAAGCATCAGAGGGTATAGAAGCGGGATGGCTAACGCACGCAGATATCCGTTTCGAGAATGTCAACGCGGGATATAGGTGCGTAGAGTGAAAGTAATTCACGAACCACCCTCCCCCCAAACTCAATGGCAAATGCTGACAATCCTCTCCTGGTTTTGATAGTCCTCATGATAAACCTATTCTCTCAGATCTCTCATTGCACATTCCCTGCGGTCACAAGATCGCTGTCTGCGGACCTTCTGGCAGCGGGAAGACCTCCCTCATCATGACCCTATTACGCATGCTGGAGCCCTCCCAGGGCCGCATCACCATCGACAACGTAGACATCTCCACCATCCACCCCGCCGCGCTCCGTTCACAGATCACCGTCATCCCACAGGACCCCTTCTTCCTGCCCGGCACGCTGCGTGATAGCTTCAACCCCACAGGCACACTACCGGAAGAGCGGATCGTCGCCGCTATCCAGAAAGTGGGCCTCTGGGAATCGATGCGCGAAAAGGGCGGGCTGGATGCCACCCTCGATGCGCTGGACTGGTCATATGGCGAGAAGCAACTGTTGGCACTGGCCCGGGCGTTGACTACCCCGAGCCCGCTGCTTATCCTGGACGAGGCGACTAGCCGCGTCGACTGGGAAACCGAAACCCGGATGCTCGAGATAATCGAGCAGGAGTGCGCGGAGCAGACGGTCATTGCCGTCGTGCATCGGTTACAGCATATCGAGCGCTTTGATCGTATAGCGCTTCTACAGAATGGGGCACTGGTGGAGTTTGATGCCCCCGGGGCGTTGTTGGGGCGCGAGTCGGAGTTTCGGAAGCTTTATACTGCGTCGCGGAAATGAGTAGTTTCCAAGCCAATTAGACTTAAATGGCTTTTTCATCTGTAACTGCAACTGGCATTCTTTCGCACCCAGGGTACAAAAGCTGGGTTCAATATAGTGTTCTCGCCTAACTATGATTGAGGATGCCACTATGCTGTCTGTAATTATCGAGCTAAACAAAAATGTGGCAATACAGTTAATAGTCAAGGACCTTTTTGAAAATGAAAAGCACATAGCATCGTTGTGATTCGAACACAGTCACTAATGAATAGCATTTGGAGTGCTATTCCTCACATGGACACTCTTTTAACTGTCAAAATGTTAGATCTGATAGCATCTTTATCTCTCGTTTTTTTGCATCAGCTTAGAGTCCTGCTGAGCTTCTCTGTTTTAGGTGAGACATCGTGTATTCTACATCTTACTTTGTGTATGTATGTATATAGAAGTTGAGAGAGAGATGTCTATCTATGGATATCATGGAGCACCCAAAGAAGCACGTAGCGTGATTTCAAAATACTCTCATGCCCAGATAAACGACAGCAGTTCAACATTTATTATGCAATCATCAGCTCTCGCGCTTCCCTTAAAGCATGTACCTGAATAACGGAGATCGATCGCCCAGCGAATCGGGATTCTCGGGATACTCCGAAGGATCCATAGCATCCCGTTTCCGGTTAATGCGCTGGTACGCCAAACGCAGGGCGACAGTCGCTATCATGCCCACGACAACAAAAGCAAGCTCAAGGGAGTGTCCAAGGATATAATTTGGCGCGTCTTGAGCACGGTAGAAGTTTGAGGCCATAGCTGTGGAGCAAGGACTATTAGTTTGAAACTTAAACTTCTAATCGATGCGCCATCCTTACCTCCTGCCAGGTTTCCTAGTCCAATATAAATTGCCATGCCGGCGGCTCGCTTGTAGTCGCCTGCCATATTGACACTGAGCCATGTGACATTTCCAGGGAATGCTGGATAAATTCCTTTTGATATTATATTAGTCGGGGTATATATTTACGAGGAGGTTTGTAACTCGGATGCACTTACCAACGACCGCGACGAAAATACCAAAGTACATGACACCTGGAACTCCCCGGCCAGTAGATGCGAGACAGATGATAAAGCCGATACCGATCATGCCCATAAAGAAGAGAATGAACGGGGATCGCTGCTTGCGTCGGTCTGATACCCATGCTGCAATGACGGCGACAATTGCTGCAGTGATATAAATTGGTACCTAAGATGATGATGTCAATATCCGCTTCATTGAGGATGTAACACATGGAGCTTACTGTAAGGAGCTGTGCAGTCGAAGACTTATATCCTAGGTCCTTGATGATCGAAGGAAGGAAAAGAGAAATGCCGTATAGCGGACAGGTGATACCCCAATACACTTGGCACGGATCAGTTAATGATGCTTGAATACCCAGAGACGAAGAGAACTTACTGAATAGACCCAACCAAATCTGCCAGTCGATGAAAGCGTCGATGACATACCGCATTTCGAATTTATCATTCGTTTGGTCAATTTCGCGCGAGTCTGCCGAGTTTTGAATCCGCAAACTGTGAATCACAAATCGACGCTCTTCTTCGGTCAAAAAGGTGGCAGTTTCCGGGGAGTCATGAATAGCAAATGGGGCTATAAGTGCCACAAGAATCGTGAGAAGACCTTCAAGAATGAAAATCCATCTCCAGCCAGCATATCCACCGACGCCGTCCATTTTCTAGGAATTCGATATACATGAGTAAAGATTTGGGTTTATATCAGCGAGCGGAACACCTACAGCGATAGCGTATGCAAGAAGCCCAGAGAATGCACCCGCAATACTAGCGGCGCTGAAGAAGAGAGCTTGTCTGAATTGCGCTCGGTGGCGTGGGTACCAGAGCGTAATGTAGTAAGCCACACCGGGATACAAACCGGCTTCTATTTTGTTTCATTGCAATCATTAGTCTTGACTGGAGCAAGGTGCAGGTCGTGAGAAGGGAAGACATTAGCATACCTGCAACGCCCAAAAACAATCGAGTTGCGAGCAGTCCACCGTAATTGTGGACGACTCCCATCAGGGTCTGTTCGCAACATTTCCATTAAATGCTGCTTGGGACGACTCTCAAATGCTATGCGCGCTCACCATAACAATTCCCCAAGCGACCATAATCAAGGGAAGCCATCTTGAGGGTCTTAGCTTCTTTAGAAGCAGATTGCTCGGCAGTTCGAAGACGCAGTAGGTAAAGAAGAAGACGGTCACTATCCATAAAGGTATGTTAATTAGTCATTATCTTATAAAAATACTCAAGCAACCGAAGGGAAGTGTCATACAAGTCCAGTTGTACTGCGGTCCCGTCATATGGAGATCGTCCACAAGGCCCTCGATCTTTGCATTGCCAATATTCCCGCGGTCCAAGAAGGCCAACAGATATAGCATGCTCAGCATGGGAATGAGACGGATGTCCATCTTCCGGAGGACAGCTTTTTCATCCACCCCCTCAAAGGTCGGTGGGCCGAGGCTGGATGCTTCCGCATCTGCGACTAGCCCATCTTGCTTTAGATCGCTGTACGGGGAATCTTGGACGGGTGCATTCTCGAATTGGTGTAGGGAGGTCTTCTCCGGTGTGTCCTTTGAATCAACCATGGCAGGCAAAGAGGGATGAAAGAAAAGATTTGCCTACCCATGAACCGACTGCAAAAGGTGACAAATGCTAGGAATTGGGGCTGAGCGTGAATACGCCCGCCAAGGCCAAATACGCACCCCGCGCCCTTGTACGCTGATCTTTGCCGCCAATTCTCTTGGCATAAGAGTACTTCAATCAATATTCTGCTTTTCGCGGGTATTACATGCTATACGCGCAGTGGATGTCCCGTATCTAGATTCTACTACTGCGTATTATGGCTGAGTTTGGATCTTCGGGCACCAGACCGTACCTGCCGGGGGATTGAGGCGCAGGAGTGCAGTTTAGCTGAAGAGTATTTGGAATCTTTGAGCCTTTACTTCAAAGATTTTCTAATAGGTGACTGCCTCAAATATATAAGGAGCCTGGTTCTCTGCACTTTGTCTACTCATCAACCATCTTGAAACAATCCAGCAACAAGTCCTCTACATCAAACAATATCTTCCTAACAAATAGATAATCATGCTCACTACCACCCTCACCTCCGGCCTGGCTACTATCCTTGTTTGTGCTCATTCTGTAAATGCAGCACCCCAAGCGATGAGGCGTTCAACTCCCGAGCTGAGCCTGACAGCTCAACTGCAACTTGCCGACACGTGAGTCTTGCACAAGACCCGAGCAAGAGACGAATGTCAAACTAATCTCATTATTTAGTGCCGTTGATCGTTACAACCTCTTGCCAAAGGATGAAGATTTCGTCTTCGACTTCACCAAAAGCGAAGCCCCATTCGCGAATCGCAAGAACTTCCCTGCCCTAGTCGGCACCGGAACATCTTTCAGCGTGAGCCAATTGCCAGGTAAGTAAACAACACATCTCCATGCCCAGACTATTTATACTAACCAGCCCTAGCATGCAGCATGGCCTACCTCCACCTCCACCCCCGAGCCAGCGAGCTCTTCGTCATCAACTCCGGGCGCGTAATCAGCCAGATGGTACCAGAAGCTGGCGTCCTAGACACCGAGGGCAAACAACGAGTGATCCACGCAGAGCTAGGGCCGGGCATGATGACAATTTTCCCCGCTGGCTCATTCCACATCCAAGTCAACCCGGACTGTGAGCCGGCTAATTTCACGGCGGCCCTTACCTCTGAGGATTTTGGGATTGGATTGGTTGCTTCTCAGACTTTTTCGTTTAGTGATGATGTGATTGCTGGTACTTTTGGGCAGAGTGTTGCGGGTGAGGATATTGATAAAGTGCGGAATGCTATTCCTGGGGATGTGGTTATTAGGGTTGAGGAGTGTTTGGCTAAGTGTGGGAAGGAGAAGCGGAGTGTTTAGTTGTATTTCTTCTAAAGTTGTGGATGAGACTGGGAGTGGGAGACCTATTGGATGATGCTCTGCTTCTATGAGTTCGTTGATATTTTGACCATGTTGGATTTGTATTGGATTTATAGAAGTTTGACCTTATCAACGTTGGACTTGAGGAATCACAACTGGGCACCGGGCCACTCTCACAATGCAACATCCTCTTGTTCCAAGTAACTAGAGTGAAATTATACCATACCGCCTCTCGGTATCACTGCTAAAGATTACAGGGTTACTTTAATACATAATTATAGAGCAATAAGAGTATGAGGGGCTTAAGGAGTTGAAGATGAATGAATTGAGTACTTTGTAGAGCCCCAGAACCCCAAGGTATAGTTTGCTCGATTTCGACAATTAGGGGATCGAGTTGAAACGTGAGAAAAGAAACGTGACCAAATCTACCGCCATGAGATAGCCAGTGCTTATCCAAAATGTAATCAAATAATCCGGGCCCTTCCTATTTTGGTGGACTTAGTTCCTGGGGAACTCAAAGAAAAGATGATGGCTAAAGAGAATATGGGGATGTTGAAGATAGGAGCTTTGTTAGGAGATTTGTTGGTCAAGGAATGGACCTCAGGGTCGGTTTGATAATTCAAAAAGGATTGGTTATTTAGGCATATGCTTTTCTTCTTAATCCAGTATGTAAACGGCGAACCTGTGGCCTACTCCTAATCTATCTCCGGTATATCACAGGCAGCAAACATTGAATTTATCGTAATAATTACAGGCTTGGTCAAGTCTGATGATGACGGAAGACCAGGAAAACCGTACGATAGGAAGGAGCAAGAGATCTACAGAATCGTATGTATTGACGGTCTAACAGAAAGAACGGACTGGAGGGAAAAAGGGAAAAAGAGAGAAGGGGAGAGAGAGAAGGGTTTATCTACATGGGGAAGGTGACCTGACCTCCCCCGGATCATCCCATCAGATGATGATGGATACTACATCTCCCTGCCCAGGTGGTGAAAAAACCAGTCAAGTTGCCGGCACTTCAAATGTTCTCGCTAGTGACCGAGGGGCGGGCGAAGGCTCCGGGGATTCCACACCACGCTCTCAAGTGCTTCCTCTTTCTTCCGTTTCAGATGTCGAGTTATCTGTCAGCTACCTAAGTTGAGTTTAAGAGGATTCGTGCGCGCTGAATAAAAATTCAAATATGGATCAATCACCAGGTAGGCAAATTCGTCACTGTGCTGTGCACCGGGTTGCAGTGAACGCGGCTACGATCTATTGAAAGGGCTTTAGTGGGACCCGGGGTAAATCCGAAAACTGGGGAGATCATTTCTTGGCATGAGGGGTATGCCAGATTGGGATGCGTCCAATCGACGATCGAAACAGAAAAGGGTCTGCGCAAAGCCACCCAACACAGGAAATTTATCCAAGAGATAACACATTGAGGGCAGTTTCTTGACAGTTGATTGGACTCGGAGACTTTGAATTCGGCTTTAATGGCTCATATAGTATAATGCGTTATATATTAAGGAGGGAGTGTCGTACAAAGTACATGTGAGTAACATGGGCACTAAAAATACACTGTAATTACCATACTGTAGTATACAATCGCTTATTATATATTCCGAACAGCCTTCTCTAGGACTCCAGGTTGCGTTAGATCATACATTCTGTATCCAAAATACGATGTTAATGTCCCCATCCACCACGACTTCCAAGGTTCAGAGTCAGATCATTCCGTGGATACATACACATGCCAACAGCCTTAAATTTAGCAGCCATAAGATTTTTCTTATTTAGCCCCAATTGGGCTAGCCTAAGCTAGGCCCTAGATAACAGGAGTGATATCAAGACAACAACTCCAACAATTTGGTTGGGCAGCAGGTGCACTGCACCCGAGAGTAATAGTACCAAATTCCCTACGTGTGTACCACTCCGCAAGAGGGCTAGTAAAAGTGACGGGTCCACATACACTCGCATTTGGAGGACTCTGTGGATGGTTGGTGAGTGTATCTCGATGATGGGGAACAATTCTTAGACAAGACAGTAATATACATACATACCATAGCAGGAGACAAGCAGACGAAAGCAGCGGGCCAGCAGCCCTGGGTGCAGAGCTTGTAGTTCGGACCTGAAGAAATAGGAATGAATGCGGGAATCGCGAAGTTTTCGAAAGTGTTATTTGTGGGTAGGGCTTGAGTTTGCGGAAAGACTAAGGCTAGGAGCGATGAGATGGCGAGATACATTGTGTTTTGGGAAGGGGATGATCACTGAAGTACAAGTCAATCTCAATGGAAAGTGTCTAGTTCAAAGATTAGAAAACAAGTCCAAGAGATGACAGCTTGTCGTCTTTATTTATGGTCAAGTCTTGCCGTTGAGTTGCCGTTGTGCTACCAATGTGTGATTGTCTAACCCTGGGGTATACCTAGGTACTATAATCACTCACATGGAACCAACTAAGGTCTTGCCAATGGAGATTTGTTAAGTCTCAACAGACTCTGATTTTCAAATTTTGAATATGGAACCCTACTTTGCCTGGAGGGTACATCTGTCAAACCTACCAAATATACTACCACAAAGATGGCGAACAGCTGACATTATTCAGAGTCGAGTTGACGGCCAAGTTGGAGACACCACCAAACGCGCCAAGGACATATGTAATCCCTTTTTTCTTCCAAGTTGTTCTCATTTTGTTCGTTGTTCGAGCTATTTGAAAGATCATGTTTCGCTTTTGCCCCTCCCAAACGGATACCTAGAGCGCCATATATGATGTGTTTTACCTGTCGAAGATAGGTATATGCCGATATAACATAGTAACCGATATCCTAGAATTCATTATCAGACGAAGACTCGATCTTATAATATCGATGGCACTCGGGCAAATTTACCCTCAGTTAGATCATAACGGCGAAAGATCCGATATTCAATCATCATGGCATCATAGCACCATGCCCTCTCCCTCCACCAAAGTGGCCACAATGACCATCACCCAAGACCATATCGCACAGGGTCACCTCCCATCTACAAACCTTCCAATTTCCAAACCAAAATGCCATCAACCTCATGGATTCAGCCTGACACAAGTACACGCCCCATCGCCGTAATCGGCGGCGGCGTTATGGGCCGACGAATCGCCATGATGTGGATAGCCTCAGGGTTCACAGTAATGCTGTGCGAGAAAGTACTCGACTACGGCGATGCTGTAAGCTATGTACAGGAACACGAAGGCGAGCAAGCCGCCAAACAAGGCACGAAACCCGCCGAGCTGAAAACAACAACCTCCCTAGAAGAAGCGGTCGGGAACGCATGGATGGTCATCGAAGCCATTCCCGAGAAGCTGGAGATGAAGATCGAGCTCATGACGGAGCTGGACAAGATCGCCCCGGATGACTGCGTAATCGCCAGCAACTCATCGTCGCTGCGGTCCAGCCAGATGATCGTCAATACAAAGAAGAATTACCGCATCTGTAATGGTCACTACTATATGCCGCCGGAGCAGACGTACTTCGAGGTCATGTCGTGTGGTCACACGGATCCAGGCATCTTTCCGTTTTTGATGGAGAAGGCTACGCAGGCTGGGTTCAAGCCTGTGCATGCTCAGGTTGACTCTACTGGGCTGGTTTTCAATCGCATTTGGGCGTCGATTAAGCGGGAGATTTTGCTGGTCTTGGCTGAGGGTGTCAGTGATGCTCATACCGTTGATGAGATGTTCAAAAGTTGGTTCAAGGCTACCAAGGGTCCTTGTCAGATGATGGATACTGTTGGCTTGGATACTGTGTACAATATTGAGGTTGTGTATAGCCAACAGCGCGATGTGGATACTGCTGCCATGAAGTGGCTGAAGGAGAATTATGTTGACAAGGGCAATCTGGGTGCTAAGGCTGGAAAGGGTTTACTTGGATAAAATCATCATAGATTGTTTTTAGAAGTTGCAATACAAAAGTTTCTAATAGACGATTGAAGCTACAGTTCTGAGTCTAGAGCGGAGAGTTATGATATGACATGACCAACTAGGACTACATATGCATTAAAGTCGTCTGCACAAGGTATGCTTTTTACCGCCTATATTCTAGCAACAACACCAATAAGGGGGGAAATATTTAGGAAAATGACATCTGAAATGTCTTTGAAAAGGACTACTAAAAAATACGTCGCAAGGCCGCATGAGCGGTAGAATGTTTTTGTTGGGAATGATACGAATTGTACTCTTGCTCCCGAGATTATATAGGTTCGATTGACGTCGCTTCAGGCAGTCCAATTATAGCATGACGATGGGCTGCAAAGCTGTGAACAGATCAACAAAACACGATTCAAACCAAATAGGCGGCGACGACGAGGGAGAAAATGGTTCTCGGTGCCAGTCACCAAAGTGATGTACAAGAGCGTTGAAGAAAGATAAGGATAAAAGGAAACGACCAAAAGAAAGTGGAATAGGGCATGAGGATAGGTATCGATCGTCCAAGAAAAACCAGACGGGGAATCAAGAGTCATCAGAAGTATTAGTATCCAGGAGACAGAATGACAAGAAATTACATGGGCAAGGAACGTGGGTAAAGTCAGAGCACAATCAGAACATGATGACGGCAGCAGATAAGCGCTCTCTGAAACCTCGGAGGAAAGGGTATAGAGTGAAAGGCATTAGGGGAAGGCCCTAGGGTGCGAATTGCAATCATTAGGGTATAGCACACCCACAGGGCCAATTAGTGCAAAGGGGTTTGGGCCGTGAAGAAATTAGCCAAACAAGGTTGAAGGCAAACGTGTGAACAAAGCCTTGACCAAGGAAACAATAATTAAGGGGATTTTCTGCGACGATGGACTTTCCATTCCGCTTTAGCGACACGCATGAACATTTCGGTGTCTTTGATGGGAACCCAGCTAGTGAGGACTTTCATAATATTCTCAAAGTCGGAGTCGAGAATGATTTCACGCATGCCATCAATAAGGGCGGCAGATGAAGCATGCAAGACGTCAAGACCTTGGCCAAATGTCCTTGGGTTCTCGGGAGTGGGGACTCTGTTCTTCCCTGGAGAGCCAGTGTTGTCTTCGGCATCTCCAAGGAGCATGAAGACATCCCACACCCGAAGCTGAGCCGGGAAGGGGATTGAGTAATTAAAGAGAGTAAGGTACCAGCGAGTGCCATAGGCTGTGGGTGGGATTCCAACCTCGTTCTGCAAAATTAAGCGTTAGTAGACCATCCTCGTGTTTAGAGTGAGATTGACTTACGAGCTTCGTGGCCACTTCACCTCCGGCAAGCCACTCTCGCTCAAAGTCGGCCAAGGCCTCCATGAGACCAGCAAACCCGGACTTGTACAGCTCTTCTAGGCCTCGAAGCTGCCACAACCTGACAAGCATAATGAAAGAATGCTCCTCATCATAGTACGCCAGTAACGTAGCCGCGAGAGTCGCCATTCCCTGTACGTAGCCCGTGTCAGGGAAATATAGTGACATGGCATGAAGAACACGGAACAGCAGTCGTTGGCCACCCCGATAGCGCCTCCGAAACATGATATGGCTGGAGATAGTCCGAGGTACATCGATATCAATTTGGACATCGTCTGGTGACGAGATGAACTGGAGCTCATTGAAGGCTTCGATGAGCTCGTCCGCAGGCGGGCTGCCCTTATGGCGTCTGGCACTGGCTTCAAGGAATGAGTACCAGGCCGTTGACCGCCATCGATCTGGAATGCCTTTCCAAGTTCGCTCGATCAACTTTGAGCTCTGAGTATCGAACTCAAAGGTCATACCGCCGCCGTCAATGGTCTTCTTGGTCGGCTTGGCCATCTTAGTCCACTTGTCTTCACGTTGCCACTCCTTCCTTCGCATTGCGCGCGTAATTGGTGCATCTTCTTTCTCATCACCAGATGGAGTGGGCAGGGTGAGCATGTCAGCTGCCTCATCTTTGGCTTTTCGGTCTCGGTTGTAAGGCAGATGATTGGTCGCCGCACGCAAACGAGAGGTCGAGCGGCGCAAGGGCGGACCATAGTTGCTTTGTGATGAAGATGGACGGGCGCTTAGAGAATTATGTGACATTTTGCGGACTAGAGACGGACCATTGAAGGAACGGTTGCTAGCCGGAGCTGTTGGTGGGCGAGTGGAACGTTTCCGCCGAGGTGTCTCAGAAGCCAGCAGAAGGCTAGTCGTGACTCGCTGGAGGGGGTTAATATCGGAACCATTGGAGTTCTTTGCAGGTCGAATGAAGCCATAACGATCAACTTGTTCTGCGCCAACATTTTGCCAATATTCAGCACCACCTGCTAGCTCCTGGGTTTCCCTCTTGATTCGGATACGCTCCACTTCGACAGATGCCCTTGGTTTGGTTTCACTGCCAGTCTGATTCATCTGAGCAGCAAGTGTCTTAGAGGTTTCAGTTACCGGGACCGTACCCTCTTCCCATAAGACCCCGTTTTCTGAGGCCATTGCTTTCGCAACTTCGGAGTCGGTAACATTGTCTTCGCCCTTCTCGTACATCAGCCGAACTCGCCGGGACAACATATCTTCGTCTGCTGAGATTGCTCTGCTCGGAAAACTAGTCTGTCTCGGGCGAAGAGTGCCCTGAGGTCTGGCATGCCGTGGAACCGCTTTCGGTGTTCCATTTTCTCCTTCGGGTCGGCTTGTTGTTATGGCAGGGGGCGGCACAATTTCGGATGTCTGTCGGTCCAACTGGTGATCACAATTCTCTTCCAATACTTCCTGAGCTGGCTGACCTAGCTCTTGACGAGGTTCTTCCTCTTCTATATTTTGCTGGCGCGGATCTGGCTGTTGCTCGTGCTGCTCTTCCAGCTTCTCCTGAGGCATCTCGTCTTGTTGTTGCTCGGGGTGCTCTTCCAGCTTCTCCTGAGGGGTTTTTGGGCGTGGACGTTTAGTATCACTTCTAATCAGACTTCCGCGATTAGAGAACTTCATTGGCCTATTCAAACCATCCAAAGAAGCTGTCGGTATATCTAACGGAATACCAGAAAAGGGGTGTTCGATTTGAGGCACTGGCGGAGGCTCTTCCGAGCTAAGTTTCCTCTCCATATCGAGTGACCGTTTCTTTAAACCACCCCACTTTCTTTCTGACCATCGAGAGCCTGGTCTTGAGCCCGGTCGTGAGCTAGGACGGGGACCTGGTTCATTCACAGCAATGCTAGGCACGCTGCGCAAGGAGGGCGCGCCCTCCGATCGAATCGTTCGTGTTTCATCTCCAACGGAAATGGATGGCGCGAGCCGTGAGAACATAAGCGCGGATGCATGACCATCACTCAGACAGGGTGACGCAGCGCTTGTGCTGAAAGATCGGCCATTGGAGGCTATTGGCGCATCGGCTGTAGGCAATGAGACCGACCGGTTTGCAAGAGGGGCGGCAACGGTGTTTTCAAAGGGCACGGCGTGAATTGTCGGACTGGACTCCGATCTGTCGGGCGATAACGATGCAGAAACCTCATTCACCATTATCCCGGCATGACTTGCGACTCTGCGCGTGGGCTAGAATCGCGTTAAGGAAAGGAGTGCAGGGACGAGGCGAAGGGGGGGGGGGGGGTTGGAGGGGGNGCGAAAATCGGGAATCAAAGTAGAAATGAGCGACAAGGGGAAAATCACAAGGGAAGTTCAACAAACAGAATCTCTAGAATTAAAATTGAGAGATACCTGGAGGTGTGGAGTTATTTTGGGTCGTTTCTTGGCGTTCTCCTTCTGTTCTGGACTTTAACGGGGCATCTTCGGGGGTTCCAAGGTTTCATCATCCCCCATGTTACTAATAACTACCTACTCCGTACTATACTTCGTAATAGTACATTCAAAAGAAGTATATATAGCCTGGATAACTCCCTACCATATTACTAGCCATTCTCTACCTTCCTCTTTTTCTCTTTTCGTTCTCAAAATAGATATCAAGGGGCTTGTCCCACGTCCATGGGCCGCGTGTGGATCGCGAACAAGGAGTATGGTGGAGTACGCTAGTTCTAAGGTGCTTAGATTAGAATCATGGCCCAACGATGTGACATCAAGAGGTAATCTGTTTAATTGTATCCGTGCATACCCAACTATGGAGTACGTGGACAGCGCAGAGTACGGAGTAGATGCAATTCAAACCCCCAATTCCCCCTGAACCCCTCAGATGTACAAAACGCGTGGAACTCCTGTAGCCGAGGCTTGGATAACTGGCCATCAGCTGTCAATGCTCAATGCAGTCAAAAGGGGGAAATACCCCTAGCTAGAACTAACGTAAAAAAAAAAGAAAATTCATAAGGGCGTGAAATGGTCAATCCAGCGACCCAGCGTTAGATCCAGCTCAAGCCACAGCAGCTGTGTGAGCTGATGGCGAGTCGCGGGTTGGTCGAGCCCGATCCACAGGCTCCTTGGGCAAGAGTTCGATCTGACGGACCAGGAAGCTCTTCTCATCCGTAAATTGGTCGTCGTCAGTTCGGTCCTCTAAGAACTTAGGCAAAAACCTCAGCAGTCGATCACGGTTATTGATTAGAATTCGTTGCACTGCCACCGATTTGGTCGGGTTGGCCACAAACACCTAATCCCTTGTCAGAGCGAGCCCTCATCTGTTCTCAGAGAGATTTCAGGGCAAGCTTACCTTGAAAACATGGAAACCTTCATATTGCACCATCTTGCGATCGTCCCGCAGCAGTTTCATGCAGAGTTTGAGATTATCCCCACTCTCCACGTATGCCATCATCACATTGTAGTTCGCACGGTCCAATAGGATCTCCCCCAGAAGCTTGATGCTTTGGCGCTTGGTGACATACGAGTCTGAGTGGACCAGGACGTTATTGAACCGCCCAAAGAATAATTCAAAATTAGTTGCCAGGTACGAAGTCACAAGGCTCTTATGGCGGGTCAAAATCTCCTGCAAAAGACATGTCAGCCACTTATCATCATAAACCATGCTTCTGGACGTTACCCTGAATGTAGTGA